AAAAGGGATCGAGGCCGCGCGGTGCCCGCGGTTGAAAGAACTTATCGTGTCGAGAGATCGCAAGTATGGAGAGGACGTGTATCGGGTACATGGAACCCCGTCGATATCGCGGATTCCTGCGCTGAAAGCACACCCGGTTGATGTGTACGGTCGCACACGCGCGCACATGTATGTAGTACATCTACACGTACACGTATGTACTCCCAGCGGATGCGCTCTCTCGCGACACCGAGAAAAGAAGGACGTAGACACGAGTGCGAGCGAGGATAGACATTTCTGTGTATATTTTATTGTGCACATATCGCGAACCGTTCTCCGCCAAGCTGCGCGATATACACGAGCGCCATGTCAAACTCACACCGACGCGACGTACCTCTCGCTAGGGACCCTCCGGGTTTCGGTGGCGACGGGAGATCGGGGAGGATCGCGCGAGTCGCGGTTGGGCGGGGTCGAGGGAGAAAAAACGAGGAGCGCAGCGCGTGGAGAGGTCGACGGCGGTGGCGTGGAGAGCTCGATTTTTCCGATAGCAAATTTTGCTCTTCGCTTTTTCCCTCCCGAACCAACGCCGGAGCCACTGCCACCGACGCGTCCCCACCGTCAACCACCGCCGACCCAACCGACCACCTATCCGTTCACCCTCTGCCGCCTTCACCCTTTCCCCCTTTCACTCCCCCTCTCCACCCCGGCGGCGGCTCCCGGGTTTCCCCTTCCGGCGCGCACCCTGTTCCACCCTCTTCCCCTCTGACATCAACGACCCATTCGTTCCTCCGCTCGTCGCGACGACCCAGACTCGCCCTCTTTTTTCTCCCTTCTGCCCACGATCGTCCCCGCCGCGCGGCGATTCTCCCTTTACCTCTCTCCTCGTTTCCTCCCCGCCCGCTTTCCTCTCAATCACCATCTGCTCCTCCGCCTCCACCTGGCGCGGCCCGACCGATCAAACCAGTGGCACTGCAGACACAATAAAAACGGGAAAAAAAGCGACGGCTGCGCACACATTTCGCGCAGTTACTCTCTCGCTCTCGCTCTCTTTGCGCCTCTCTCCTTCTCTCTCTCACGAATAAGGGATGACGGGATACCGGACGCTTTTGAGAAGTTATTCATGAAGCGCCCGACGAGATTCCTCGAGCGTCGCGTATTTTTTTCCTTCTTTTTCTAGACGCGCGACGCCCGACGCTCTCGATGGAAAATATCGAATCGTACGGTTTTACAGACTCGTTCATTCGACCAATCTCGAAATCGCTCCACGATTTCTTTGACAATTCATTGCTTATATTCCAATATCGATGACGAGTCGAACGAAAATTCGTTTCGGATACATCGCGCGAAATTGTGATCGGTCCATTATTTTTTTTTTCCAAGCGAAAGATGGAGCACGCGCCAACAAGGGACCGCGAGCCGAACGGGTATTGACCATCCGATATCGATATTTCGCGACGCTTTATCGCGGACATGCTCGTTAAACCGATAAATGAATAATGAGCGCACTGTATATGGGATGGATATGGAGAGACAACCGTGGGGGACGAGCGCCGGGGGGTGGAGAACGCGCGCGATGGAGGAAGGGAAGCGCGGGCAAGAAGGGGAGGACGAAGGGTGAGGGACGTGAACCAGCGAATCGAACAAAACAACGAAATCGAATCATTCGTGGTGGCCGCCCGTACTTTTCATGCGTGAATTTTCCAACTGCCCCGACACGTACTGCAGCTGCGGAATCGCCGGTAATAGCGTTAGTAAAATCGAGAGTAATGCCTGAAAGCGTTTACAATACGCATCGCTTCCTGCAAATAAAAACGTGGGGCGCGCGTGATCGCCATCCAACGCAACAAAGCGCGACCGCGTGGTCATCATCATCGGCCGATGACACACGACGAAACGGGTCAAAATCAAACGATACCCATCGTATGACGCGACATTTTCCATTCTCCATCGATGCGGGAAAAAATGATACGGATAAGGCACCGATATTTCATTTTTCCGTCGCTAAATATTTCTTGACATCAATTTTTCAACAATACCCAGTCGATATATTCGTAATGTCAATATATTACACGAGCAACTGTACTACGTTTTCTCTCTCTCTCTCTCTCTCTCTCTCTCTCTCTCTCTCTCTCTCTTTATCTATCTATCTCTCGATTGATCCATCAATTTCGAAATGGACAATTTTTTTGACAATTACATTGTGGATATGTGTATTTCATATAACATATAAATATCTCTTCCTCGATATAAAACCGATCTCTTGGTAATCGCGCTATAACCGATTGAAAAACTTGTTTGCGATCAACGCAGATGTGCGATACACACGCATCCATAAACTATCCGGCTGACAATGATTATCGTACAGGTGTAACAGGAAAACGTAACAGCTCGGTTGCGGTCAGACGGCTGACGATGATGACAGTAATTGCCGAGAATTAGCGACGTTAATAACCCCCTCCAGGCGGGTGGAAGAGAGAGAATGGACGCGTTTGCTCGATGCGCGGACACTTACCGGGCTGTTCGGCGCGTTAATGTAACACCCCGATAAATCCCCAGCGCGCCCGCGTTATTTTGCTCTTTCGCATCGTCGGATCCGTTATTCATTCCCGCCCGTTCTCTCTCGTCCCTTTTTTTTGTTTTATTTCCATTGCGCGCCCGCGAACGACAACGCCCGGCCTCGTCATAAACGCGCGGGCTATTAATCGCGGTACCGCGTGGCAGGAGCGAGCGTGTCGACGAGGCGGTGGTACGGCATTTCGATTTTATAAATATGAGGCCGGATACACACACGCACAAAGAGAGAAAGAGAGAGAGAGAGAGAGACATATATATATCATACACCGTACAAGAGCATGTGAATCGCGCGCGCGCGCGATAATATCGTCTGATAATAATAAATCCCCGTCCGTCCGCGGCTAACAGAAGCGATAAATCCCAACCGAATTAAAATTATAACGGCGATAATAATCATCGTCTCTCCTGATGCGGGAAAATACGTGACGCCATCACCGTCGTATTTCAAAGAGCGTCGCGCGCGTCTCGAGTGCTTATCTCCAAGATATCGGGGACATAAAACGGCGGATATGACACGATCGCGCGCGCGCGCGCGCGTATTGCGATTTCCTATCGGAATTTATATTCCATCGCTCCGATACCACATTTCACACGATATATATCTTACGGCCTGTTCCACGTATAGCTCGTACGAATATCCACGTGGAGAAAGTCTTGAAAGAGTTATGCTCCTCATTCAACCTTAATATGTATGTAACTTTACCACGATGCGGTAGACTTACTAGCGGAAATCCGCGTCTCGATCGTATGGAAAAATCGTCTTTCCGAATATTATCCTTCTTTTCCTTTCGCGCGATCATACGTGTCAATATTTCACATGTTGCTCTTCTCTGTTGTCCAATTTTAAAATGTAAATGTTATAATATGCAAATTTATCGAGGCAGCAATTTAGATGCATTTTTAATTAGACTCGTATTTTAATTAAACTCGTATAATTACCATTTAATCTGTCATAGATATTCACCAACGCGTCGACGCCACATTATTCGCTCGAATATGTTCTCGTTAGGATGGGAGATAAGTAACCTGCTACCTGACTTGCGTCGCTACTAGCTTTCTGTAGACCTGTCGCGAGGTCTTATTCATGATTTGAGGGACGCATCCTGCCGGAAAAAGGAGAGGAGATGAAAAGAATGGGCGAGACACAAAGCGGACGTGCGCGGAGCGGAGAAAATAACGGGCTCGCACAGCTGCTAAATATTCAATAAACGTGAGCATTACACGTCGCTGCACGCCTACGCCAAAGATAGATTATGAAGGAGGCGTAGATGAGGGGGCGAGAGAATATCAAAGCAGACGAAGAGAAGAAGGATCGCCATTCATTCTACGTGATCGAGATTCTTGTTCAATAGCGTGTACAGAATGCCTTCTCTAGGACACTCGGAAGCTACGTCTCGTCGATATTGCCGGCTTGTCGATAATTCGATGAGAATCCATTTGTATATCGGTTCGAAACGAGATACTTGTCAAACTTGTCGCGAACGACGAATCGAAAGACTGCTTTAAAGATAGCAATTACAAAAATATGCAACTTTTTTACAAGATTTATATATATATATATATATATATATATATATATATATATATATATATAGTTGATTAAGGATTGTGCGGCCAGCTCTCGCTAAACATTCGACTTCGAAACGACGTGTTCTATAATTAAGAGATTGAATCTCGTTGCCGATTGATTAACGCGATTCTTCTTTGCCTTCGCGAGAGCCTCGTCGACTTTAAATTATTCGATCGAGCACCACCTTTCTCTCGTCGTCCCAAAAAAAGAGAAGCGAGGACCGCTTCGAAAGAAGATGAAATCAACGTTTCGCGGTGGTTGTCGTCAACGAATGCATACGTGCAAGAAAATAAAAAATTCAAATTGGCCGTTCGGTAGGATGAATATGGATACAATGCAAAAGAAATTTGACTACGAAATCTTTGTAATGCAGATTTTCGAAATGAATCTTTACTCAAGAATAATACGTAGAGTTTGACGCTAGTCTGTATGCAAAAAAAAAAGAACAAAGAACCTTATTTGATTCGATCGCGAAAATAAATAAAAAAAAGTCCGCGATTCACTTCGAGTGCTTTATCGATAATACCGAGATCTCTCGATAGTTTCTAATAAAAGTTGCGCGAATCCGCTTGTTTTCTTCTTTTCATCGCGCGCGACTTTACGCAAGAAGCAACCCCGGCAACCCCGGTCGCGCTATTTGCATGTTATTACCTTGTTTACATATTTATTCAATAGCCAAGATCCCGGAGGGTCGCAAACACCCTGTAATCGGAGCTTTCTCCTCATTCGGCCCTTTAATTTCGGATTAAAGCCTGTGCGCGCAACGTGCCAACCGAGCGATTAATAAATCACCGCAAACCCATATCGATCACGACGATATAGTTCTTCCTGCTTTCGACGATACTTTGAATAATATAAGCGGAATTAAATCCCTTACCTGTTTGTGCATCTCCACGTTAAGCCCGTACGACATCTCGTAATACTGCAAAAGTAAAGGAAACAAAGAGATTAGAACATAATTACACAAGTTATGTCGATATTACACGTAATTAGTGTAAGCATAATTGTGTGGCTGAATACATCGTTATATGCGTTTCGTTAAAGCGACGTCGACGTTAAGCGTAAGGTGATGCGTGCATAAACTGCGTTACGCGGTCTTTTCATGCAAAAGCTGAACTTTGCCGGAAGGTTGCTTACACGGAACCCATTTCACGCATTTACATTATAGCTTTGTCATCTTATCCTTTCTAAAGACGATTGTACGCAAATTTTCCGTTAATCAGAAAGCTAGGAATATTCCAATAAATTTGCGCCACGAACGCAATATCACATGGTGCTACGCGCATAGAAAAATGATATTTTTGTTTTAATGACGAAATAATTCATTACCATCTTATTCAGCACGTAATAGCCATATTTGTAACGCGATTCGAGTGCAAATAATAATCATAATTGCCGTATAAATATCGCATAAAGTAAAAAGAAAAGGCAAAACCATTCCGCGTATGATTAATCGGATTATCGAGTTTCGTACACCAAGATGTTGCTTGAATCCGTAATGACGGCCGCGGGAAGAACGCCTCGCCGAGGATCCTTTAAGAGCCCCTTTGCGATTGCAGGGTTGAGATTATATCGATCAAATGAGATTACGAGATTACGAAAAGCGGACCAAATTGAGCCGTAATGCGAGACCGCAGCCAGTCGGTAAGAGGGATAAGCGCGTCGAGAGAAAATGAGAAAAAGGAAGACGAGAAAGGAGCAGCTCTCTCTCTCTCTCTCTCTCTCTCTTGCCGCCTTCCGAGAGAAAGACAGCGAGATAGAGAGAGGGAGAGAGAAAGAGAGAGACTTGTATGCGCGCGCGCAGAGTACACGTGTGCGTGTGAGTGTCGAGCAAAGACCGGTTTCTCGTAACATCGTTTCTACATCGTGTGTACAAGACTCAGCCGGGGCTGGCTTTAACTAATTCGCTCACCGTGCAGCGGTTCTCATTTCGCACGCATGAGATTTCCGATCGTAAAGATTCGCGATGGAATAACGCGTACTTAGCGGTACCAAGTTATTGTCGGTCCTCGGCGAGTTTGCGCGTCACGCATTTCTTGATGCGGTCACGCGTCGAGAAAAAAAAGGAGCGCGTAACAACAATCGCGGAGGAGGGGAGGAAATCCGGCAGTTTGCGATTTTAACGAGCGTCTTGAATATAGTCGCCGCATTATTCCCGGCAGAATCAACGACCGTTGTGAAACGGACTTTATTGCCCGATGGTCGTAAAGGGCGCACTAAACCGCGTTTTAATATATCGGCGCAGCTACGACAGTCGGTTTAGAGTTTTTCTCGCGGATACGGGGGTAGACGTGTGTAATAAACGCGTTAGACGGGGCCGAAACGCGGTCGAAGACGGTCTCACGCTATCGAACGCAATCTTCTCGGCAGTTACGATTTTAGCAACACCGGTAATATCTATTTCGCGCAATGCGGTAGAGTTATCGTTAATACTTTAAACACGTGAGCAAATTCGTCTGAATGAATATTTTACGAACCTGCTTCGGACAGGCAGCGATTAATTAAACTCGTTTGTTTTAATAATTCGATATTCATTCGGCGCGGTTTATCTTCGAAATTACGATTATTTTGTAAATTGTGAACGCTACAATGTACATATAGAAAATACAAATGTAGAGCGAGAGAAAGAGAGAGAGAGAGAAATTTGGCCGCGCGTACGCTTTGCTTTTAAATATAAATTAATTCGCCCATATTTTTATTCCATTCGCGCTCACGAGCATTATCAATAAATTGCGAAATGTATATTTCAATCGGTCCTGTTCTTGCGAAAATAATAATTTCGCTGAAAGCTTGTAACCTACGTTAGCATATAATATAACGTAATTATATATTTAAATTTACCGCGATTTTACTCAAATGTCGCGAGGACAAATAAAAATAAAAAGCGATTAAAAAATCTATTAACAATGTTTCTCTTTTTCACGTCTCCTCTCTCTCTCTTGTCACATTTTTCTGTTCAAATAAATATTATATTTTTTAAACTAATTTTTTTCCTATTTAACGTCTGGAACATAACTTGGCTTCTCTCTTTCTTGTATAACTTGACGGATTTATGGGGAGAAAGAGGAAAACAGTTAAAAAGTGCAAAATTGCACAAAGATTGTCTCACCATCAGAGTCCGGTCCAATGAAATAATTGGCTTTTAATTAATAGACTTTGCTAAGGAGAGAGACGAAACTGTTGAAGATCAGGATCTTAATTATCGCGAGACTGGAAACGCTACTTCCGTGGTCGAGACATCTAATACGAGTAGAGAAACAGTGTAAATAGCGACAGTCGGCTACGATAATAGAGTGAAGACGTATAAACTCGATAACAACAGCTAGAAATATTTACAGAGATGCTATCGGTACTTTTGACATTTATATACATTTCATCGCGCAATCTTTTTTTATACCAGCCAAGAGAAAAGCATCTCAGGTGTGTGTATTTTTATTATCCCGGTGTATCTTTTGATCTCTGCTCTTAACGTTGAAGATAAATCGAGCATTCAAATTGAATTCTCTCCCACTCGTAAAAGATTATTATAGCATCATTATAGCTGAAAACTTATTCGTCGATTCGTGACCAATTTGATTGCGAAAATGATTCCCGCAATCCCTTTTCAATTCTAGAACCTTTTCAATTCTCCAGACGATATCGATCATGATTGGTATCTACATATGTTGTTCCCTCTCGCGAGAGAGAGAGAGAGAGAGAGAGAGAGAGAGAGAGACCCTTATCGTACCCTCTGTCGTTCCTCAATGGAAATTGCTCCTGTTACGAACACACTTTAGGCGATGCCGACATCTGACTCTGACCGCATACGACTTGCAAATTTCGTCCTCGATGTAGCCCCATCCCGCGGTCAAAGCTTTGATTTAATCAAGAAAAACATAACGTACGACTACATACGCGTACAACTGTTTACGCTCGCGTATTCACGTTACAACGAAATGATTCAGCGAATTCAAACAAAATGTATCGCGCAAAGGGCTTTTAATCCTCTCATCCTGAACACGCGCCGTATTCCTTTCGTCCCTAATGCCATTTTTACATCTAATGGAGACGTTCGGAGAATCACTCGACTGGCGACTTGGCGCGATTAGTGCACTTTGCGAGCGGAAAGGAAGGACGTACTCATACTAATGTATCGGGTGGTATCGAGCGAGCGCCGTTGGACAAAGTGCTTCGCGGCCGGCGGTCTCCCGTTGCGCTCGCGATTCGCGCGCTCGTAAAAGTCCGCGAGCACGACAATTACACGAAAGAGTCGTAAAGGCGTAAAGGCGTAATACCTTGTGGCCGTCGTCCTATTGTATAACGACTCGTCCCGGGGCATCCTTCTCGTGCGACTGGGTGAATACGCGATGTCGCGTTGTCGCGTGAAAAATTCCAGGGAAACTAATAGACACGGGAAATGGCTTTATACGAGCGATTGTTTGAGATATATCTCCACTATATTACTCGCGAGACATAAACACGGTAGTAATCGGGGAAAATCATCATAATCTAACGAGGAGACGACGGTCTTGCATCTTGGATGCAAATTACGGGTGCGATTATCGAGTAAGACCGTAACGCGATACTTTAACTCGACGTTCGCCCGGTGATCGATGACGAAGGGCGGATGCGCTACGATTGTACGGTCGCGGGAATCGATGATTCGCGCGACGCAAAGCCGTTTAGCCGACTGACGCGAGCACGTATGTACATACCTGTTGCTAGTTAACGCCGGCCTAAACTCGATACTACGATAAATTCTTGCTACGTCGGTAATCAATCATCAATGATAAAACGGCGCGATAGAACGATAGCGCAATAAATATGCTTTCGTGTGCTCGTCAATCGAAATTTGATTAAGTGCATTCCGTGGTTTCGCTATGTTTCGCGCCGACGTATGCACGTTACCGCGCGGTGAACGGAACAATAAGCGTGCGCGCGCTATATATGAACGAAAGTGGGATATAAAGTGTGCGATATGTATACATTTTAAAGGCTGTCACGCGCGCACGTGAATCGCCGGCCGATCGATCGTACGCGCCGAATAAAGGGATCGACGCTTCCAAGATCGATCGATCGATCGATCGAGGAAGCGAGAGCGCGTACCTGGGCAACGCCGCTCTTGTACGACGTACACGCTACGTACGTACGTATGTACGTGAGACGATCGCACGATTAATCTTCGCGTCGGCATGAATCGGCGGAAGTGCCACGTCCACGCGAGAGCGAGCGCCGCGCATTTTATATCAAGTTATTTGCATCGAACGCGCGGCCGCGCGCAGACTACGGCCTATAAATTATCGCCCGCCTATAATGCACGCTTCGCGAGCTTTGGGCAACGAACTCCGGCCCATAAACTTACGATGTGACCGCAAATAGATGCGTGCTTCCGTTGCTCCTCGATTGAGAGAGAGAGAGAAAAAAAAAAGTCGGCTCGAAATGATAAATTTTGTCATAAATTTGTCAAAATTTAAAGATGTAAAGATGATGTGTATATATATGTTTTTTTAATCTTTAGCAAAGATCTCCAGATTTGTGCTTTTCTGCGGACTCTATAACTCGGAAATTACACGACAGACAAGATAAACGCTCTATGAACGCACCTCTCTCTAATTTCTTTTCATTCTGATATGATAGATGGGAAAAAAATGTAGGTGTCGAGATGTCGGCACAACTGGTGTGAAATTAAAAGCGGTACTCTTCGACCTCCCGCGAAGAAAGTGGCGCACCTCTTCACGCTTCACGCAGCTTAATGAAGACGCATACACGGCGACGGTGTATCGCGATAACGAAGATCTATGAGCGAAAGTAAGCCGCGACTCTACCAGCGTCTACGTGTACGTACCCTCGCGGGACAAAGCTGAAAAACAAAGCCAGAAGAGGAGCCACAATGGCCAAGAAACAACGTGGCACGCGCACCATGTAAGCCTAAATTATTTCTTATACCGCAAGACAAATATTTTATCGCGAGTCAGATTTTCGAAAAATACATACTTCAAGTTTTTAAAATATGTAATGTAAATTAAACGTATAAAAGTTTAATAAAAAAAGAGATAAAAAAGAGATAAATAGATACTTCTATAGAAATTACATTTCAATTATATCGTGACACAAATTTAATGAGCGAGTTGGAATATTTCTGATTTGTATCGCTTCAGCCAAGAGATAAAATAGACTACGAAGAATTATCTCTTTAGGTGTGAAACGAGAAAAACGCGTCGCGTCGTTTAATCCCTTTTTTGCGACAAATATAATTTATTGTCGATTTGTTCTGCGATAGGTTCTGTAAGCTCTTGTGGACTCACCATGACGTAGTGGCGCTGCATCTCCGTCTTCTCCTGGGCGAGTTTCTCCAGCTCCAACTTAATACTGGACAGAACAAGCAGGAAATCACACGTGTAAGCTAAACATTAGTAAGTGCAGGCGACATTCAAAAGCTGTGGAGGCAAAATAAAGGAGAGCACGGGGAGCCTCTATCTTTCGCTTTGCATCGGGGAAGTCTTGTGACGCACGTTTCGGCCACAATATAGAGAATATATAACGCCGTTAAACGAGGGATTATCGAGATATCAACGAGTCGAGGGTTCGACTTGGGTTCCGTGGCGAATTCGGGGTGCGATATCATCATCGTTTCAAACGCGTCGTTCGATGACACAACGATTCGTTTAATCTGCCCCGGATTTTTTCGCACGTGTTCTTTTAACCTTCCGAACCAATTCGTTCCTTCCACGCCCCCAAATTGAGGGATATTGCGGAGGGGTGGTGCACAGCCAAGCCATTAAAAACACACAATTAGTGCAGCCGCAACAAACATTGATTATAATTGTTATATACTGGCCATTGTGTATGCGCGTGTCTGTGTATATGCATATATATATGTGTGTGTGTGTGTGTGTGTGTGTGTGTGTGCGTGTATCTGCGTATGAATTTCATGTTTATCAAAGTGGATCGTGGAAAATATTGCAAGCGTCGCGATTGCGAGCGAATAATTCATAAAAACGCATCCGTCGAATTTACGTCGCGTTCGATTAACAACGAAGCCGTATGTAAATACAAACGATTCGACGCGCGCTTCAGGTACTTGTTGTTAAACGCGAAACGACGAAAATATTATCCTCTCGTCGAGCGATAATTAATAATTCTGCGAAAGAGATGTATAATCGTGAGAAAATTCGCGCACTTAATCCACCTCTCGTCCGGAAAGAAAGTTAATACGAAATCAATACGAGAATCGACAGCGGCAGTGCGCAGGTTCATTAAGAGTTAATCCTCGTCGCGTCGCGCTTTTCCCCGACGCGTTAAAGCGCATATTAATATTCACTTGGCCGACCACCATGTTACCCGTCGACGGCGACATCGGAGCGGGACAAAGACCCCGTTGTCGGTGGCGATAACTTTTTTAACGACGACAAGCCCGCGTCGTATTTTTGTTTAGCGGGGGAAAATAATCTCGCGGTGACGACGGCCGACAAAACCGCTTGTGTATCGCGGCAAATGAATGCGTTCGTATGCTTGTAACGCTCGGGTGCATCGCACTCGCCGCTCCTGCCGCTGTTTCGCGACTGCATACCTGACGATAACGCGAGGGTGGGTGCGTTTCGTCCACGTTTCTCTCCGCGTTTCCCGTATTTTCGACGCGACGATAATTTCACCGTTTTCGCCTTTTCCTTCTCTGTACGCAGCCCCCCAGAATTATACCTCTGACACATTACTTTGCGCGTATCCGCGTCATTTTTATTCCAATCGCGCTGCAACGTACGATAAAAAGCGTCAGAAGGGTACGTCGCGGTTCGGAAAATTCATCTCGGCAAAGTCAAATCGGCTTTGTTTTCATAATTTCCCGTCTCTTTTAGCTTCTTCGCAATTCGCTCGCGAAAATTGAAATAGCTCGACCGCGACCGAGCGATATCGCTCTCAAATTCACGCGCGACGAAAACGAATGCATTTTAATCCGGGAACAACGGCGAGGTGATTTATATGATTCCGTGTGTATATATGCGTACGTGTATATGTGTATGTGCATGTTTTCATGTGTATGTAACGCGCTGCCCCTTTCTACGTTCTCATCCTTCTCTCCCGGCTTACCATCACGTAATGCCTCTGTATCTCTATTTTTTCACTGGCCAGTTTCTCGCACTCCAATTTAAGGCTGTGTAACAAGAACAAGAACAGAGCATTAATATCCAGCAGCCTTCGAAATTGTCGGAGCCATTGTCTCTCCGCGCATCATTCTTCGCGTCGCGACATCAAGTTAAAAACGCGCCATTTGTAATACACGGATATCGAAAAAACAAAGATTTTGTAGTAACAACTGCGTAAAAGCTCCAAACGATCAAAAAGAAATGGAACAAAGATAACTTTTACCAATAACATATCGTATTATCGAATTGGTGAAAGATATCGTAATAATGTCGAAAACAAATCCTTTGAAATTTCTTTCCAGAAGCCGTAATACCGGATGCGAGGCCGTTTAATTTGATAGAATGCGCGTAATTCCGATACGGCGTTTAATATTCGTAAAAGCCGACTCCAAACGCTAGATGCGACGCAATCTCATGTATAAGGCGATAAATTAGCACGATATTAACGATTGCGCTCGCGAGCGGCAACTCTCGTTACGCAAGCGGCAATACTTGTACAATCGGAGAGTCAATTAATTATTTCAGATTGACGCCGTGCCAACGATTTACGGGACGATTTATCAGGAATCACGTTGCGCGCGACCGAGATAAATTCTCCGTTTCGCGTATAGTTGTTTTTATCTTTCCGTGATTAATATCTCAATCGAATATTATTCTCATCGCAATATACATAGAAATTATTTCAATTTAGACACAAGAATTATTGATGTCGCTATTTTCATCGTTTTTCTTTCCATATTTTCGGCACTTTAGATCTTCAATCTTCGTAAAATGAGAACCGATTCTTCTTCTACGTCCACGATTTCACGATTGGAAGCGTAAATTAAACGATCGAAGAAATAATAAATTATGCCAACACGAGCTTTTGCCAAAATCTACCAAATAGCGTAACGCGTATTTCACGAGGAAATCATTGAGCTCTCTGCGATCGCGGACACGTGCACAGACGCGCTATCCAAACGCGGTCCTTCTCCAGGCCGTGCATACTTCGATGTACACAGCTTCCGGTCGGACAAACAATTATCTGCCTACGCCCGTCGGTCCGTGCGTTTCGCGTGCGCGCCCACGCGATATTTGCACGCACGCCTAATGGATACGGCTCTGCGGTGTCTACGGGCGCGAACCCGTTTGCTTCGCCCGACAAACTACTAACCGCCGAGCAGAATTTACATCGCGCTCAACTATCCAGGAAAATGTGTAATTTCGCTGAGAAAACGGGAATCCGGTAATTTTGCTAAAAGCGAGAGCCGGCGTAAATTTTAGGACAGGTTGCGTCGATATCTCGACTCGCTCAAAAGTATCCACCAGATTGTTGCTTCGATAAATTAATCGGAATTAAATATATCGTCGCGCAATTTATACAAGAAAAAGAAATTGTACAAAAATTTACGCCGGTAAAGAGATTTCAGATATAACGGAGACGTACGTTTATTATAATTGTATGATTTAATTATAGTCAGCATTGAATAGTTGTAACAAATTAATTTTATCTCGTTTTATTCTTATTAAATAAAGTTAAAATATTACGTACATCCCCGATTGATTGTAGTTAACAGAGTTTGCGAATAGTGAAAAAAGAAGGATACCTGTGATATTGAGCCTGCAAGAAATTGAATTCCTCCTTGATACGATCGCAGGATTCACCAACAGAAAATTTAAACGGCTGTCCAGGCTGCGGTGGACCCTGTAACAAGAAAAAAATTGTTAAATGTATCAATGTACCGCAATCTCTTAACGCCATTAATACCCTAAAATTTATTTATCTCTTAACCCATAATACCCTAAAATTTATTTGAGAGACTTTAATGTCCCGCAGGTAACTCCAAATCTATATACTGGATCGAACAAAAAAAAATATTGCCACTTAGACATCACGACAAAGAAACCGCCTATATCCCATGGAGGTATTAAAATGTTTTCTTTTTTCTTTTTTAATCTTTTTTTATTTATTTTTAAATTTTAACCTACACATTTTTCTTCGTTTATTGTTATCAACCGTTATTTCTGTTCTTGTACTAATAAAATTTGATTTTCCAATCTTTTGGTATCTTTTGTACAGAAACTTTGATACATGATATACTAATTTCGTATATTATAAATCTCAATCTCCTTAATATGTTTACAATTATTCTATTTACACTGAGTGTCTATTTGTAAATAATTGAATCTTTTATCGTATCGCATCATGTACTTACGATACATAAATATAACGATATATAGAGGATGACGTAAAACTTGTTTCTAACAGCTTAACAGTTTCTTATCCAAAAGGGAAAACCTTTAAAACCATACTATTATACAATGAAAGCGACCTCGCTACTATTTACTTTTGAGTTTAAGGATTAAACTTGTACTCAACTATCTGAATAAAAACAACTTTAGTAATGATTTAAAAGTAGCATGTCATGTCGCAAATTATTCTTTAATCCTACACTTTTATGATCTCAATAATTGTTACGACTTATATAAGTTTGTTGTTTGTTCATCACCACTATTTAAAAACAAATTATTTATATATATATATATATATATATATATATATAATTTTTAGATAAACAATTTAGACAAACAATAAAAAAAACAATTTAGAAATATTAAAACTAAATATGAAAAACAAAAACGATTTTAAACTTTCTCTTGTTTTTCATTTCTATTGAAGTGCATTTCAAAGTTCATTATTTACATCAATCTCAATTATAAAATAATATCGCAAGGTGCGCTATCTCTTTTTGTCGCGGTGTATGCTGTAGTAAATGCAGACTGACTTTGGTAGCTGCTGTATCAGCGCCCACGAGCGTAAAAGCCACATTATTACCGGTGCTACCCACCTCCGTATACCTGTTAGTAATAACGTTACGAGCGTGTTATCGATCGTTTTGCACGTCGTGCCCCGCAAAACGGATACGCCACTATGGCCTCGTAAAAGCCGGAATAGCTCCCCCTCTCTCTTTCTCTCTTTCCCCCGTCCGATCGTTCTCGCGCGTCGCACGATCTAGATTCCACGGCGGCCAAAGAATGCCGGAATCGCGGTGTTTCGTGCAAGAACTCGCTAACGATTTGCCGACGATCGCGACCGCGTAATGAAAATCGTGCCAAAACTCGTAAAATAAAAATCAACTCCCGGACGCATTATTGCGCTAATGACTTGTACGTGACATCGGTCAGCGCGATACGGTCCGAACAAATGATAACGGAAAAAAAATATATATATATAAATTTTCAACAAACCGATATACCTCTTTTTATTATATGCATAAATCTCTCACATTATTTTTGTTACATTTGTAAAAAATTATTATATTATCTTATTGGAAACATATTTCTAATCTCTGTACTATTTTTTATCTCTTGCTGTGCAGTTAGGGAAGGTCTTGTAGCTTGTATACCATAGTCACCGCAACATGTTTTATTAATCTTCATGGCTTCGAGTCGGGCTTTTCTCCCGACGTGTACATTATCACACGTGTATGTTTAAATTAGGCCGAGGATTTGCGCGGCCAGGCGTGCAATATCTTTAAACGACTGAAACCCGGAATGGGCTAAACAAGACTCTATACATTTCGCTTACTTGCGTGCTTGCTCGCAAACGTACAAGCGCATACACGCACGACATTCCCCGCGAGCGACTTTTTTAAACGCAATATCACGAGAGTAGAAATTCTCTCTCATTTATCGAATGTTAATGAACGAAAGAGCGAACTTAACGCGAATTGGCGAACAGCTGATCGCAGCTAAATCGCTGATCCAATTTGTATGCGACAAGTCACGACGGTCAATCCAATTAATTCATCAGCTTCCACTCCTACGGAATGGAGCAACGAGCGTCAGACCGCGACGTGCAGCTTCCCACTTTCCAGTGCAGCTCGTTAACAGATTGATATGGCAAAAATGTGGCTTCATCAGAATCAAAATTAACATCGTAAAATAATTTTTTTTTTCAATTAATCGCACTCATAATTCTTATATATTATACCTTCCGATATTATGACTTGACAAATAGCTACGATAAAAATATAGACATATCGAAAACATAATATTTTTAATATTATAATATACGATATACAAATGCAATGACGTCTTGTCGATAGAGATCGAAAAAAGGGATATTTTTCTCTCTGGGATTGTTTGCGAAACATTTATCGTTTTTTTTTTTTTTTTTTACGTTTTAATCGAATGAGGCTAGCGACCGATGGCCTTTCCCATCGACGAGAGACGGGAAAGCAAGCGAGCGGCGGGCGTGCGACGCGGTTTAGCGTCCGTCGAAAAGCGAAGCGCGCGAATTATGTCGTTTCGACGAATAATGAGAGAACGTAGCCGTCGTGCACGTCAATCAGTGTCCTTTACGTGTCGCGGCCGATTTAATTATCCGATAGCCTCCTCTCCCGCATCATCATCCCCGTCCCTCTGCCCACATGCCGCGCTTTTTTTTATTTTCCGCGCGATCGAGAGCCGGAGCGCGCGCGCGTCCCGACAAGAGCGTGAAAACGCGATAGGCCGGATCCGGATAACGACGAACAAGAATTGACATTAAAGCGCAACGATCGCGCTTTTATTGCTTTTCGAGTCTCGCGCGACATTTAATACGCGAGGGCCGGCATCATACCGGATTGCCGCGTTTCGCAATATATTATCGCGAACGGCTCAATGGAGCGAGGAGGCCGCTCAATGGACGTTCGTTAAAGCCGACGACGGGCGACGTCGCCGTTTACGGGCAACGTTACTGCCCCTGCGATCGGCGACGAGGGGAGGGGAAGAGAGAGGAGGGAGACGACGACCCGGCCACGCTAACGGCAACTAGACCCAATCGGTTGCGTTTGCAGCCACTCAAGTACGCTTAAGTGGCGCGTATCGCCGCGTCTAATTACGTTACCTCCATCGATCGCGCCGTCCGTCATCCACTAGATGCCTGATTATCGGCACGTATTATCGGACAGGTTAACTGCTCTCTACGATGTCCCCGCCTGTGAGATCAAATCCGTAACCAAACACCAGGCACGCGCGCGCTCAAGTGCCAAGAACATTTGCTCATCTCGAGCTACGCTAAACGGACTTGCATTAGTACGTCTAATGCAAATTCAAATGCTGCTGGATTAATCGGACGCACGCCTATTTGCGATATCCTCCGGGAGGAGCGAAAACGTTTCAAATTTGCTCTTGTCGTCTCCTCTATTTATAATTTACAATATTAAAAATCTCTGGACGCTTGATACGTCTCCATTTACGTGTCAATTTGATTAAAAAACTTTAAAGCTACTGTTAAAAATGTCATTGTAATTTGTTGCCAAGAACAAGATGGTGGAATTAATTTCGATTAGTTACTTTTATACAACGCAACACTCGAGAGAAACAGCAATTTGTATCACCGGCAACATCCGATGTAGCTCGCTAATCAAAGAGATGGCAGCCCTGAGAGTCGGTGGCCGGGTGTACTCGTCTTTACTTAGAGACTCTCGTGAGAAACTCGCTAAGCCATGGCGGGATTACGCAAAAGAACGACGCAAACAGAGGGAGAACGAACGGGAAGAGCTTCGAGAGAGGGTCGGTGGTTTTCGTCGTACCGCAAAACCACCGACTCGTGGCGCGGATTCCAAAACCACCCGGCGACCAGAACCGACCGCGTTCGCCCTATAAGCTGCCCTCCCTCTCTACCACCTTCCGTTATTCCACGAAAGAGAGAGAGAGAGAGAGGAAGAGAGAGAGCACTGGTCGCGAAATATCGTCGAAATATCGCGCGCGGCAGAGGAGTAGATATTGAAACGCGCTTCATCTCGTAACGGTTTAAGTACCGTAATCTGCATTTCCTCCGGAATATCTGATATCGCGCGTGTAGGATAATCAACCGCGATCGACGATTTAATCAGCTCCGATTGATGCAATTTTTACAATTTCCGCATCAAGAAATTGGACGAAAAACGATACGGAAATCGATGCCGCGGGTATACACGCAAACCGATTGCCTCGCTCGCTCGCTCGCTCGGCAAACCCGAGCACGATCGAATACCGAAATTATGCAACGCGATAACAATTCCTGTAATATCGCCAGACAATACGCCTCAAGATTTGCATGAGGTGCGGAGTGAGAATACACGAAGCAGGGAGAGAGGGCAACGGACGTACAAGCGGTTGTATCTTATTGATCATTATGATTATTCCCCGTAGCAGACTGCGAATTCGCCCCGAGACTGCGGGGCACGACCGCTATTTGCATAAGCAATGCATTTTGATTCGTAGACCCACATTGTACTCGGCACACCGGGAATGACATAAATAATGCATAGAATAATGATAGCGCGAGGCGGCGCGACGCGCATCCCGCATCGCGCGCGAAAGCGAGTCTATCGCGAAACGAGACGATTTTCGCGCACGTAATTCTTCGCTATGCTGAAATTGCGCTGCGCCACCGCGGCGCATGCATTTCATTCTACTCTCGTTAACCATTACCCCGACGCGAGCTATACATAGTCCCGTCGTCGTGCGACTCGCGCAATCTTACACGTACGCACGTCGCGGTAAATCTCGCCGGGTACGTACGCTGTGTGTGTATTTTCTACTTGAAAAAATGAATAGAAATTTCTAAAGCGCGCAAACGGGGAGAAATAACATTCTTTAATGTACCAGAAACGAAGGCAGATCTCGAGAAGGAACGAGCGTTTCTACTGTTAAATTGAGACTCGCGCAGTCTCG